TATATATATATATTTATTTATTTTTTTAACAATTTTCTTCTTTTCAGAGTACGGAATAATATGGAAAACGAAGAGAGGAGACATAAAAAAAATCGATTGTTTAAAAACGTATCCAACGTGGATGAAAGACATGAATGATATTCTCGGTCCTTTGAAGATAAAGGATATATTTTTACCCGGAACCCATGATTCCGCGGCTTACGATGTGAACGGCAATATAATAAGCATCATTTCGAAATTTGCCGTGACACAGGTAAATGTAACATTGATTTTTTATATTCGAAAAAGGTTCTATATATATATATTATTATATTTAATCACACAACAAAATTTCATAGGATTTGGATATTCTTGGACAATTGATACACGGTGTACGATACTTGGACATCAGATTGGGCCATTATCCCGACGACAGTGAGGTTTGGTGGACGATCCACGGCCCATTTTATCGTTCAGTCCCGTTAAGGATTGTTATAGATCATGTGAAAAATTTTCTCGACAATACCGAGGAAATCGTGATAATGGACATACGTGAATTCGCCGTTGGTAATGCTGAATCCCTGAAACTCTCCTCCAACTCTCAACAAGTTTTGTTTGATTTGTGACATGATTGTGACGAAAAACAGGTTTCAATAATTATTCCGATCATCGCGCGTTGGTGTCCCATTTGGAAGACGAATTTCGCGATTACTATCTGATCCGAAATAATCAAGGATGGGGCGTCACGTTGAACGAGATCTGGTCTTCTGGAAAAAGATTGATAATCGGTTACGAGGATTCGAAAGTCGTGGCTAATCACGCCAGTGTCTGGCCTTGTGTGACGCATAAATGGGGGAATGTCAAGACCGTTGAGGACTTGTACAAATATTTGCATAAAATTGAAACCAACAATAGGTAAAACATTTCTTGAAGTGCAATTAAGGGGATAATGATGATTCGAGAAAGGATATGATTTATGCTAGTTGTATGCAAGAGGTGTGTTAAAAGATACGTATTTTTTTTTCTTTTTTTTTTTCTTTTTTTTTTTTTGTTAAAGGGACAGCATTCTGAGACCCCGATCTGCGATGGCGGAATTGACCCCGGATTTTAACGATATCATCTCGAATAGATTGGGAAATCTTCGAGATATGGCGCATAGAGTTAATTTGAATGTGACTAATTGGTATAGCACCATTTGGCAATACACTGCGAATATCGTAGCTACAGATTTCGTCAGGGACACGGATATCGTTCAAGTTGCCATTAAATCTAACAAAAATCGTTATCTCTATTGTAAGCACAATAATTTAATTTGATTGATTGATTGATTTAATCGTTGAAGAAAAGAATTTATTTTTATATTGAATTTGTTTTGCATATGTTGTAAATAAATATTGTAAATAATATCGGTAAATCTTCAGACGAGAGATTTTTATGATCTATAAATAATATGTATTCGAGCAATAAAATCTTTTAAATAAGATTTTCACGATAATTCTTTTTTTTTTCTTTTTTTTTCAACGGAAACTACATCTTACGATTGTATAATGATTAAAAAGGTAATGCTTGTTTAAGAGTACCATTTTCTGCCATGACAATGAGATTTCCGGCGGAAGAACGGAATAATACTTTCAACGTAATAAAAATCCTCATTACGTATTACGAAATTGAAATGAGATCTGTCGAACAGATCAGTATAAAAGATATTTTATACGGCATTGGTCGATCAATGAAAAATGTTTCTTTTATTTTTTTATTGTTTTCTCGTGTTAAGAATCACCGACCAGACGCAATATTTTCCCACAGAAACATATCCTAATATCAATTTCATTACCTGTCCAAATGATAAAGTATGTATCTTTATCGAACATTGTTCTGCTATTTTAAATTTAATGAATCATAATCTACTTCCAATTCATAGGTAAGTATGAATCCAGTGTGATTAATGGATAAAAAAAATATAAACGAAATAATGAAATCGTTGTATATAGATAAAATTATTCAAATTTTACTTAAACTTCCATTTATTAAAACTTTCAAAAATGTAGATTTCGCCAAGCAATTTGCGGTTACGAAAATACGAGACCAAAGGTGTGCTGCAACATAAATGATAGTAACGTAAACACATTTTTCACGCAAACGGACGATACATTTTACGCGAGACAAAGTTCGAGTTTAAAATGTGATAAAAGTTTCGTTCGTGGAAATGTTAATACTGTAGGAATGTTTCCTTTTGTTGCAAGAGTTGGATATAAAAGTAAGAGAAAAGATAGATAGAGATATTTATTTATTTTATAGATGTATCAGATTGATTTTATAATTCTTTTCTAGGCAATACAGGAAAAATAACGTATTCTTGTAACGGTGTAATTCTGAATCAACGCACAATATTAACCACTGCAAATTGTGCTATTATAAAGTTTAATAATTATAAACTGTGAGTAGTTATAATTTTTAAGGTAAAAATTTGAACAGATTTTTAATCTTTCAATAGGGATTCTGTAATTGTTGGTGAGTTTGATACTGATACTGATTCTAATTGTAATGTACAGAAAATAAATATATCGTATGTGATAAAACATCCTAATTATCAAGCTGAAACTTTCGCGAATAATATAGCGATGTTACATTTAAAAGAATCGATACAATATACTGGTAATAATTATTCAAATTTTCTTAATCCATTATGCAAAAGATTCGAAATTCTTATTTTTTTTTTTTTTAATTCAGTGACTGCACAACCTATCTGCCTTTTACCGAAAAATAATTATATAGATGTAGGAATAAATGCTATTCTCGTTGGTTGGGGCAAATTTGCAAATCGAAAGGGTAAGAAAATTATAAATAACTCGTTTAAATAACAGAGTTTTTTTAAATTTTAAATATCTAAATCTTATTGAAGTAAATCCTTGTAAGCAACAATTTTTAAAAATGAGGATTGTATCGATCGAAGAATGCATGAATTATTATATTCAAGGATTAGCTGTTGAATTGTGTACTATAGGAGATGAAATGCCATGTTCGGGATACACTGGAAGTCCTCTTTTACTTAAATATGGCGATTCTCATTTTTTGGTAAAAATTTACTATTTATTCATGATATTTCATGATTTTATATGTATAATTAAATCATATATTTATATATAAAATTACAATTATATATTTACATAAATTTCAGTTAGGTATTTTATCATATAGTTCCAACTGCAATGTAACCACCAGCTTTCCATCAGTCTTTGTCAATGTACAGAAATACGTAATATGGATTCTAGAAAATTATTAACTATTCATTAAAAGATTAATAATTTATTTAACGTTAATGTAAATTTGAATAAAGTACACACATATATATATATTATTATTTTCTTACATATAATCATCTTTAATCAAACTTTTGCTATTTATGCTTGAAAATGTTTAAATATTTTCCACGAGTCATCTCTTTTGCCTCTTCCAATCCTAATTGATATGCCATATCATGTAATTTTTTTACTTCGGATATTAAACCACCCATTGACAAATTTCCTAATTCTTATTAAATAAAAATTCTTATTTTTAACATAATAAAAAATATTCCATGTAATTTTGTTATCAAATAAAAACTTACGATGTAACTGATTTATATCATCTGGAGTGAGACCAGCAGCCCAAGCAGATGGTTCTGTTTGAGGTGAATTTTGAGCTACAAATTCGTTTACACCTGGAACTTCATTAATCATTAATATGATTACACGATATATTATTTTTTCTTTCAAAATTAAGTATATATAATGGTAACACGTATACATAAAATATACCTACTTTGTTCAGGCCATAAATCCGGTGATGCTCTATCTAATTTTTCTAAACTCATAAGACTTTCTTCTACGCAAATCAAATCTATAAATGAGAAATATATAAAAGTAAAATTTATTATTATTTTGTTGAAATATATGTATATGTAAATACCTGGTTCTGTTGGTTCTTCTGTAGTCATTATGTTCATTGATATTGTATAATCTAACCTAACCTAAAGTCAACAGCGAAATCTAACGTAAAAGGAAAAATAAATAAATACACAAATGTAATTTATAAAATCACAAATTATAATTGCACGCAATAAATTATCAAAGTCTTGTTACAATAAATATTATATAATATTTACTAATGTTACAAGGTTTGAAGATTTTGTTCGTTTTTTGATGGTTCTCGTAACTGATCCGCCAATTGTGTTTGTTGTTTCAACAGCGATTTTAATTTATTCCGTTCTTGTCGTTCAATATCGCGTTCTACACCTATTTCGAGTTGTTTTCTATAAAAAATTATGAAAATATACGTAACAAACGTGCTACGAAAAACAATTTTATCGTGTAACATGTACTGAACACTGTAGTCAAATTAATTTACATTTATGTGATATAATATGTAAAAAGTTCATTATAGATTCTAATCTTTCAGATCGAAAAAATATAACTAATTCAAAAAATTTTATATTATAAAAATAAAAGAAAAAATTGTATCTTCTTAAATAAAATGATTGTATATTAATTTCAACTTCAATTAAATAATTCAATCGAATTTTCTTTCGAATAATCTGATTTAAGAACGAAACATTTGAAGAAGGATATATTTATTCTCAATTTATATTTACATTTTTTTATTGTTATAATATATTATATATTTTCTATTTATTCAATGGTAAATACATGTTACACGATGGTTAGATTTTTATGGAATTTTATATACGTTGAATATAACCTAATATAAAAATATTTTAAATTACCTCTCAGCTTCTTGTTGATAATGCACATAAAATATAATACTTGCTGATGTTGCACAACATAATGCAAAAGTAATTTTTGCAGGAAGTGACATTCTTCTTACAATTCAAGAAGAATATTAAACACTTTTATATACGGTTATTATCGACAGTACGTAATCGTGGAAATGCGAGATATCGAATACGTTTTGCGAGATATTGAATTAGATTCTCGCAAGTACGTACGAATAATTTGTGAAAAGAACAGAGTGTAATTTTGTGGTGTAAAATCGAGGAAAATTGCGACAAATCTTAAGAATAGGTGCTGAGAAATGTGAGTAAAATATTTTTTCGTATATATTCTTTATTATTTTGCCAAAATATTCGCTTTATAAAATAATATACATGTATGTATTATAATAAAGTATATCCTTTGGCGTGTTATCGCCATTTTAATTATTAAAGCAAATTCCATGCATATGAAGCCTCATTTATTATCTTTATTTATTAATATTGATTAATAAGTAACAATTCTACTAATTATTTTTTACGAAATATATGAAAACCAAATTTAGTCTAGAATTTATTATCGACAGAAAATACGATAGCTAGAAAGCTACCGAATTTCGCCGCGAGAGAACACATCAAGTACTTGTACATTATAAAATAAAATTCATACTAGATCAAATAAAGATATTTATATTATATTACATGAGCGTGTTATAATAATATCAACGGGATATAGATAAATTTAACAGTTAGTTAAACGAAACAGTAAAATACCTATTATAATTATTTAATTAAATTTAACAATTCAACTTCAATTCAAATTTTCATCAAATCTCATCTATTTCTTTAATTTCACAATTTTAAGCAAAAATCTTTTCGAAAAAGATATTTATTCTAAATATTTATTTTCGAAACTTATTTTATATCTTCGAAATATTTTTTTATTGTAATTAATCAAAACACACAATTTTATTCGAAAGAAAAGAAAAATTTCCAGAAGTTTTCCAAGATCTCTTATATACTCTATCTTTCGTATTAGTCCTATTATTTCGGGAGGGATGATAATCTTCTCGTGACCATGCAACCATCTGAAATGTAATTGGGACTGGAAGGAATCTGATGATGTGGAAGGGTGGAGACGATGTAAGAGGGATATAGGGTCCGTTCTTATCTACAAAATACAGGCCACATTTCTCTGCCTTTTCATGTTCCACATCTCGTAAGTTATATCACGAGTTCGGAAACATCGGAGGACACGGTATGATGAATCGACCCTCGTCGCCCTTTTGTTCGCCCTCCAGTCAGATGTGATGATTTCAATTATATTTTTAATTATTATCTTTTCAAGAATTTACAAATTATCGTTAAAAATCGTTTGCTCTTTAATTCACTTGCGAATCAAGATAAAATGAAATGAATTTCTCTACCGAAATTCTAAAGATCAATTGTGTTAACTTTGCACTTAAAAGTGTACTTCGAAACGTTAAGAATTATCAGAATTATCGGATCTATTTCTTTCTTATCTACAAATATGAAAAACACTGTACAGATTCTAAAAGGAAAAAGAAGGATGTTTCACGAAGATGCAGCTATCCATTCTTGTAGACTTTCTAACAAGAAGTTCTCTTTCTTAGGAAGGGACGCGTGAGAGAACGGTTTAGGATATAATTATCGAATTCCGTTGGATGGCTGCCGGACACAGGGGCCTCGTGTATCCTTAGTGTGAACTTTACT